GGGTGGCTGTGTAGACTCTCTGGCACAGGTCTCTCCCGGTGCGGAAAACGCGCCTCCCGAACACTGCTGCTTGCCTGCTTCACTGCTCTTCCCCGAGCTGATCAGGCCTGAAGGGCTCAGGTTCTCGCAGGGTCAGGTCTGGCAGCTCCTCACTGTTTCTGAACCGTCTCTCCATCCCCCTGCCTCTCAGTCCAGTTCCTCAACTCTGCCTTTGATGTTCAGGACTCCCAGATTGCCATATGTAATCGATTCACTTTTTTTTTCAGGTCTTTGTTGTAAGATGGTCCCCTGGAAGCGTCTGACTACTCCACCATCTTGGCCCCACCTCCCCGTATTTTTGTATAGTTTTAATTTGCATTTCTCTTATGAGTAAGATTGAGGATCTTTTCATGTTTCAGAGCTGTTTATATTTCATTTTCTGTGAACTATCTGTTAATAGTTTTTGCCATTTTTCTGTTGGGTTATTGGACTTTTTCGTATTGATTTTTAGGAATGCTTTATGTTTTAGTGAAATTGTCCTTGTTACGAATTAAACTTTTTTCCTTAGGTTGTTTTTAACTTAGACTTTGCATGTGGTAGTTTTTGCCAGCCATAATTTTAAAACATTTTATGCAGTAAAATTGTTTTCTTTTTATAGGTTCTGAACTTTGTGTCATTCTTAGACCTTTGAGGTTATAAAATAATTATTCATGGTTTCTTTTGGTACGTTTCTGGTTTGACTATTTACATTTGAATATGTAAGCTGTCTGAAATTTGATACATAGTATATGGGTTATGTTTCCTACATGTATATATATGTGTGTGTATGTATACTGTGTGTGTGTGTGTACATATAAATATATGTATATTATATACACATATATATTCTATGGTTACCCTGTTTCCTTGACACCTTTGTCGATTGGACCTTATTTCCCTAGACATCATCTTTGACTCCCTCTTCTCTTTTGTGAATCTTCTCTTCATTCCCAAAAATATCCATTATCTAATCAGTCACTCTATTAAGTTTATTCTTTCTTTAGGTTCGTATGTTGTCTTAGTCTTTCTTTCTGTTCCTATTGATATCACTTTAAAGTATTTTTTAAACGTAAAGTTTTATATATATATATATATATATATATGTATACATATGTATATATGTATATATATGTATATACGTATATATATGTATGTATGTATGTATAAAATTATGGGTTGAATTTTGTCTCCCCCAAAAATGCATGTCAGCTTGGCTAGTCCATGATTCCCAGCATTGTGTGATTGTCCACCATTTTGTTATATGATTTCCTATTATGTTAATGAGGCAGGATTAGAAGCATTTATGTTAATGAGGCAGAACTCAATCTACAAGATTAGGTGCTGTCTTAAGTCAATCTCTTTTGAGATATAAAAGAGAGAAGCTAACAGAGAGACAGGGGACCAAGAAAGCAGTGCCAGAAACAGAGGCTGTTCTTTGGACCCAGAGTCCCTGCACTGAGAAGCTCTTAGACCAAGGGAAGATTGATGACAAAGACCTTTCTCCAGAACCAGCAAAGAGAGGAAGCCTTCCCCTAGAGCTGGTGCCCTGAATTTGGACTTCTAGCCTCCTAGACTGTGAGATAATAAAGTTCTCTTTTTTTAAAGCCATCCACTTGTGGTATTTCTGTTATAGCAGCACTAGATGACTGAACCCATTGCTGTTGAGTCAATCTGACTCATAGCTACCCTATAGGACAGAGTAGAACTATCCAATAGGGTTTCCAAGGAGTAGGTGGTGGATTCGAATTTCTGATGTTTTGGTTAGCAGCCTGAGCTGTGAACCACTGCACCACCAGAGCTCCGCATATATATAACAAACCACCTGTTGCCATCAAGTTGATTCTGACTCATAGTGACCCTGTAGGACAGAGTAGAACTGCCCTATAGGGTTTCAGAGGAGCGGTTGGTGGATACACACTGCTGATCTTTTGTTTAGCAGCCGAGCTCTTAACCACTGTGTCACCAAGACTTCTTTATATTTATATATATATGCATATTCATATGTATATTTATATATATAATATATAGAAATTACATATATTTATACAGAAATACATATTACCTCTATTTGTTGATCTATTGATCTGTTGCTCTATCTGTCCTATATCTAGAGAGAAATATAATGAACTCCCAGTTGTCTTTTACCCAGCTTCAATAACTATCACCTCATGACGGATCTTGTTTTATCTTTATGCCTGCCCATTTGGGCTTCTCTCACCAGACATGATATTATTCTTAACACTTGGACCACTGAGAGAGCTGTCTGTGTCTTCCAATTTTTATCCTCTCTAGAGCATATACCCTGGAACAGTCTGAAGTATGTGAGTCTAAAGGATTTGCTGTAGTCCAGAAGCACTGCTAAGACTTTATCCCAGTTTCATTTCTTAAGTAAGTTCTTAGACTTGAAGTGCTCTGTTTGCTCCCACCGTCTGGTAGGTTGACTTCAAAATCCACTAAGGGTTCCCGGCCAATCAGAGAGCCATTGCAAGACCTAGATCACACTAAGACCTTCTTGATTGGGTTAATTCAGTAGAGATATATTCATTCAGTCAAAAAATATTTATTGAGTACCTGATATTTGCTAGGTACTCATCTAAATGCTAGGGATACAGCTATAAATAAAATAAAGTCTCTTTTCTCATAGAACTTATATTCTAGTTGGGGAAGATATTCAACTGTCTGGAACCATCCATTTTCCCATGTTGGGTACAGTTAATTACATGTTACTGTGGTCAAGTGTTGATCTTCTGGAGTAACTGAGAAGCAGAGAGGATCCTTTAGGTCACCCTGATCTCTTTGATACTTTCTTGGCTCTTATAGGAACAAGTGGTGGTATATTTTGACATTGCTATTACATTTGGACTAGGTTTTGTTGCTTTAATATTGGCCTCATTTATTTAATTTTTTGCGTATGTAACCAAAGTCAAAACTACATAAACCAGTATATCAGGAAATTCTTGATTTTATCTCTGTTCCCTCCAGCCTACTCTCCTCACCCCCATAAAACCCAAACCCGTTGCCATCGAGTCGATTCCGACTCATAGTGACCCTGTAGAACAGAGTAGAACTGCCCCACGGGGTTTCCAGGGAGCACCTGGTGGATTCAGACTGCCGGCTTTTTGGTTAGCAGCTGTAACTCTTAAAACACTACACCACCAGGGTTTCAGTTAACCATTTACCTGAGTGTCTGCTTTAACCTTCAAGTATTTCTTTAAATCTTGGAAGAAGAAAGGAGATGAGAGACTGGTGGATGGGTGGGAATGGAGGAGAAGGGTTCTGTTTAAGTAATGTTTATAAAATGTTTTGCTGGAATTCTTTTAGTCCCACTTCCACTCCTACTGACTCTGAAAAAGGCAATGGCAATTTTTTTTAATAAACTTTTTTTTTGGAATAATTTTAGATTCACAGAAAGTTGTAAAGATAACACAGAGAGTTCCAGTATATCCTTTGAGGCTGTCATGGATTGAATTATATCTCCCAAAAATATGTGTCAACTTGGCTGGGCCATGATTCCCAGTATTGTGTGATTGTCCACCATTTTATCGTAAATACTACCTCTATGATGTTAATGAGGCAGGATTAGAGGCAGTTATGTTAATGAGATAGGACTCACTGTATAAGATTAGGTTGTGTCGTAAGTCAGTCTGTTTTGAGATATAAAAGAGAAGCGAGCAGAGAGATGGGGGACCTCATACCACCAAGAAAGCAGTGGTGGGAGCAGAATGTGTCCTTTGGACCCGGGGTCCCCGTGCTGAAGAGCTCCTAGACCAGGTGAAGATTGATGACAGGGATCTTCTTCCAGAGCCAAGAGAGAGAGAAAGCCTTCCTGTAGTGCTGGCACCCTGAATTCAAACTTCTAGCCTTCTAAACTGTAAGAAAATAAATTTGTTAAAGCCATCGACTTGTGGTATTTCTGTTATAGCAGCACTAGATAGCTAAGACAGGCTTTTCATAACTAGAGGATTAAGCAAATTTATTAGACAGTGGCCTTCTGTCTAAATTATGAGAAAGGATTGGGTTTGTATGTGGATAGAAGATAGAACTGCACTCTTTTGGCTGACTGTACTTGTGATTGAAGATGAACTTACCTTGGTTGAATGGACTGTCAGTCTGGAGGGAGAGCTGTAAGCACATTTTAAAACTGAGCACTTGGCTTCTATTTTTAAGTCTCTAAAATAATTATCTGAAACAGGGAACTAGCTTTTGAAAATGAATCTGATGTGCCCAGACTTCTGCATTGTCTGTATTTTCTCTTTCTGATGGTGAGGTGATTTAGCTGTCCCTTAAGTTTATCTTGTATTTTTGTTGATTTCCACTGTTGCTGATGGAGTTTTTGCTTTTCCAACACTTGTAACTCCAAATAATTCAAGTATCCTAGCAGGAGAAATTGTTGGGAAAGGGAACTGATTAGGAAATAGAGACTGGTTGGCTGTTGGTTGAACAGAAAATTTGATTTAAGCTCACGACACTTGGGTTATTAGTCAAATGATATGACCAGTGAGTTATTGCTTTTATTTTTTGGCTTTGGCCTCTTTTCCTGGTTGTACAGATGACCTGGCATCCAGACAGAGCTACCAGCAGAGGTGGTTGTATGTAATAACTGCTGGTTTTCTGTTGATATGAGATAGATTTTGCATTTCTATGAACATCCTTCTGAGGAAGAAGGCAAATTACTACTTAGATTATGTTCCGGGGAGTACTAATGCTAGCCTACATGTATATAGCACTTATATAACACTTACGCTTTCAAAAAATATTTTATTTCATGCTCACAACAACCTTGTACATGAGATAGGGCAGGCGTAATTCCTGTTTGACAGAGGGGATGCTAAGGCACAAAGAAGAAACTGGGTTAAGATCGCTGGCTCAACAAATGAATGACTGGCACAAATTATTGTATTTTATTTTTGAATCATGACTTTCAGAAAATTTTATAGAAGGAAAAAGCTGAATACTTCTCTCTTTTCGTTGTTATTTTTTAGCGGCGTCTTCGACATCTTCGGAACGTTGCTGCCCGGAACATTGTTAATAGAGATGGCCATCAGCTCTTTGATACCTACTTCACACTTCACTTGTGTAATACAGAAAAGACCTATAAAGGTAAGGGATTCTGGGGACTTGGTGCACACAGATTGTTACATCTTATTTTTATTCTTTTGTAACACAAGTGATTCTCTGTGCCTCTTATTGCTTATTGGAAAGCTCAGTTGTCATGCTGTATGAAAAAAATCTTATGAGCAGTTGTCATGTATATTAAAGAAACAAGACTCGTGGATAGTTCTTTTGGATAACTGAGCCTTATATTGATAAGCTTACTATTCTTTATATATGTTAGCTGCAAATATCTTCATAACAGTGCATTGCTTTTCAAATCAATTATATGAGTCTGCTGCCCTGTATTAATTTTACTTTTCATTCAGATATAGTTGATTTCTTTTAGGGATGTAGTTTATATCGTCTCATATCTATAATTCTTTGTGTATATGGAGTCATTTTTAGAACACTGGTGTGGTTTCGTCTGATTCACTTTCGTATAGTATTGTGCTGCAGGTGCTGCTGTAAGTGACAGTTCTAAGAGTAGACCAAATATTTGTTTCAAAATTGCAAACATCTTTCGAGTGCCTGTTGTATGAAAGATGCTTTGATATAATCAGTTGGCTTGTGTAGGATGGTGGAAGAGAGGATTCGTGGGGTAATGACAAGAACATTAAATTAGGATTAAAAATACATTGGTACTAGTTCTAGCTCAACCGCTTACTACCTGTGTGACTTTGGACAAAGATCGTGACTTTTTGAACTTCACGTTTCCCATTTGTAAAGTGGAGATAATGATGTCTTGTGAAATAGGCAAGACAGATTTTTACGGGATCATTTGAGATAGTGTGCTAACACTTAGTAAGATGAGATTAAAGATGTATTTATATTAACAAAAAGTGGTATTTTTAATAAAAGGGACTGAGGACTTATTTGAATTTTGTCCTGTGGCAAACATGAAAAATTCAAGTGGCATTTTATCTTTTTAGCTTTAATTATTTTAAAAAACCCTTATTAAACAGTATTTGTTTAATAACTTTTTAAAACATGACAATACCAGTGAGATGGATTGAATTATGTCTCCCCAAAAATGTGTGTATCAGTTTGGCCGGGCCATGATTCCCAGTATTGTATGGTTGTCCTCCATTTTGTGATTGTAATTTTATGTTAAAAAGAATTAGGGTGTGACTTTAACACCCTAAGGGTGTGACTGTAACACCTTGGAAACCCTGTTGGCATGGTGGTTCAGTGCTACGGCTGCTAACCAAAAGGTCGGCAGTTCGAATCTGCCACGCACCCCTTGGAAGCTCTATGGGGCAGTTCTGCTGTGTCCTGTAGGGTCGCTATGAGTTGAAATTGACTTTATGACAACGGGTTTTTTTTTTTTTTTTTGTAACACCCTTGCTAAGGTCACATCCCTGATCCAGTGTAAAGGGAGTTTCCCTGGGGTGTGGCCTGTACCACCTTTTATCTTACAAGAGTTAAAAGGAAAAGGAAGCAAGCAAAGAGTTGGGGACGTCATACTACCAAGAAAGCAGTGCTGGGAGCAGAGCGCGTCCTTTGCACCTGACGTTCCTGCGCTGATATGTTCCCAGACCAAGGGAAGACTGATGACAACGACCTTCCTTCACAGCTGACAGAGAAAGCCTTCCCCTGGAGCCTAACGCCCTGAATTTGGACTTGTAACACACTAGACTGTGAGAGAATAAATTTCTCTTTGTTGAAGCTATCCACTTATGGTATTTCTGTTATAACACCACTAGATAACTAAGGCAACCAATATATGCTCATTAAAAAATTCACTGAGTGCAGAAGTGTATGAAGTAGGAAGTACATAAAGTAGGTAAACTCCCTCATAGTAAATAGCATTAAAATAATTTTTTTTTTTTATTGTACTTCAGGTGAAGGCTTACAGAACAAATAGTTTCTCATGAAACAGTAGTACACATGTTGGTTTATGACATTGGTTAACAAC